GAAGAGTCTAGAACTGTAGGCTGCTTTACATAGTACTATTATCAGTCAGTTATGAAACAAAAACCGATTACGCAGAAAATTTCAAAATTACAGAGATTATCGACCACTATGCTATGGCATTTTGTTTCTTTGAATGACAACTTACGGAACTAATAATGTTTTGAAAAACCTATAAAAGAACTCGAAAAGCACTTCAAGTCAAAACACCTTGGCTGCGTTCTACCGTTTTCAGTTGCACAGTTCAGCCTTCGTTGAAGCTTCGTCCTAATTCCTCCTGGCTGTTCAACATTTTCTTCATTTTATCGGAAGAGCGCCTGAAAAATTTGCTGACAAAATGGTTTCACTTCACTGTTTCTTGGATGGCAGGTGAACACCGCTGTAATAAACCGTCGCCATACTTCAAGTGCTCTAGTTTTGAACAGAGGCAGATCAGTATCGCGGTTTATCAAAAAATATTAAAAATTAAACTTTGCATTTTTGTGGCTGAACAAAAATGACTATTTGTCAGTTGCTTCTGAACGAAGTTTGACGCTGAAGAAGAAAGAAGCTTACTCAATCCACTCTTTATAAACTGTAAAATTTTTCTGTGCAACCATAATTTCGGCATCTATACGAATTGTCAAAATTTAGTAGGTAACTACAGTGCCTTCTGACGTATTAAAATCTGCCTCTACTGATGATGCGAAAAACGAGTAAGAGCAGTGAAAAAAATTGCTGCTATATTAAACTTAAAACAAGTTTCAGGAAAATATTAGAAATACGTGCACTATTTTATTCTGTAAAGAGAAATGATAAGAAACAAAATTTATAAAAAATTATATTTTTATTTTTTGCTCCTTGTTTCGTAAAAAATGATATTTATTATTTTAGGGTATTTATATGATTTATGCAGAGCCTACGATAGTTTTAAATAATAATGTAATTTGTAAATACTTGCTTTTAAAACGAGTGTATTCGTCTAAAATAGAAGGATAGTATGAGGCGTAAGTTCTGAAAAAAAAATTTTTTCAGAATGAAGACTCTGATCTTAATCTGTGCTCTCGTTTGCGCAACATATGCCTTCCACCACCCAGTTAGCAAGGGCGAAAAGCTTTGCGCCTTCTGCAAAAGCTTCGTAGGTGGCATTGAACACTTTTTGAAAAACGAAGAAGGACCAATTGAAGAAGTACGTTGCTTTGCTCCTGCGTCACTCTATTGCTACACCTTTCTAACTTTAGTACAGTAACAAATATTTACAAGAAAACTTCTATATGAGACGTCCTCACATGTAATTTAAATTCTGCAAGTCCTCTTTAAAACAAGAAAATTAAATTTTCAGTATGCCAACAAACTCTGCGACCTCCTGACCAAAGGCAATGCTCTCTTGGACCCCATCTGCAAAGGACTTCTGGATACCGAATTAGTGAACATCATTGAATGGTTGAACAACAACGAGAAACCAGCCGATATTTGTGCCAAACTCCACCTTTGCTAAATCTGATTTTCGAAGGCAAAACTATTTTTTTGGCTGTACAGGGTAATTTAAAAAATAAAAATTGCAAAAAATTACTTCAGTGTTTTTCTACACATCAGCACTTCGAATCTGCACAGTACACGATAAGAGAGTGGTCAAGCATATTTATTTGTGTAAATACCTTACTATTTTTTTCAAACAGACGAACAACTAAACATTTTTCAACATAACAGAACAAATGAAAAAAGTAAACCTATACATGCAGTAAGCTTCAGGCTGACAGAATAAAGTAAGAAAACTTTGCAAATTTAGTTTTTGAGACAACAATTCTACAACAATTTGTCATGTTGAAAAGTCTGTTAGACAACAGTAACCAAGATCTTCATTTGGTTTAGTTAAATCGTTTTCTACATTAAATTTGGTCGGTCTGAAACCTTCTCGTAATTTTTGAACAATTCTGCAGTTGCAGAATACAGGTCAGCTTAACAGCAAAAAGAAAAACAAAAGAAATAGATTTGGTTTTTGCTCAAGTCGATACAAATAGACGCTTTAGCATTGATATGATCGACGAACGATATTTATGTAAACGAATCATTGATCTTTTGTCTAATAACTTATAAAAACGTAGTCAACGATGCATTTTCCTCTCGACTTAACAAACAAAACAGTAAACCTGAAAAAAAATTTGACTTTTATTTTTTGTTTTGCGACCAAAAAAATTTTTTTAAACAAAGTAAACTAGCTTTTAAGAAAACTTTTGCAATCAATCAAGGGTGTTTTATTAGAGATGTTTCTTTCCCGTGACTTTCGACACTTTTGGCACCACAAATACAGTTACAGTTATCTGCCATACCGTTCACTTGTTTGCCGTATTGGAAAATAAACGACGCTTTTTTTTTGGCAGTGCTTAACATGCTATCTTCCACCAAACAGCGGTTAATTTGTAAAATACAAAAATATATTTAAAATTGGTATATACAGAAAATAACATACTGAGATTCCCAAAAGGCTACTGAGAGTCATCAAAGAAAGCACCCGATTCTGGTGAAGATGAATCTGGTCTGGCGGAATCAGTGCGTACAACAGAATAGTCAATATTTTCCTCAAGTCCTGATAGTTTCAAAACTTTTTTTCTTTTGCATAGAAGTCCTGACAAAAACCAGAACGAATATAACAAGATAGAAGCGATTACTAAAGCTGCCACAATCATATAACCTAAAATTTATCTCAACTTTTACTGTTGCATTTTCAGATAAAAAAAATAGATTTTGGTGAATGAAGAATGAATTTTTTTCAGTCTTTATCAAAATCATACGTTTAATCGCATTTTCTGTGACTTATATTTGCTTTAATAGAATAATCTTCAACATGATCTTGTAAAGTTACCTTTTATTTGGTTGCCCATAGTCATTACACCATTTAGAAGCCATTTTTCCAACTAAAAACCCTAATTAATAAATAAGCGAGCAAATCTGATCAGAATGTTTGAGAAGAACTTAATGTCACAAAAGCATGAAAAAGTGATTGCAAAGTTGTTGATTAATAACGATGATCTAAACGAACTTGATTAAACACTTGTCCTATGCTTTCTTCCAAAGATTTTTGGTCATCATCTTTTGGTATGGCATCTTTTTTTAAAAAAGTGGCTTGACAAATGAATGTCGCCACACTCCTGTTGCAATCACGAGTATGATATTTTTCTAAAAAATTTTAAATTTGGGAAGAGAAACAATGGATCAGCATGTGCTTTTTAGAAAAGCCATCTTTATCCAGTGGCAACTGCTTCATAAATTTTGAAAGAGTATAATTTCATCACTGATAAATAAACTATTATTTATAAGTCTTTTCTCAAAAAGAAATGCAACAGTGGTTTTGCCGTTCTTACTTCAAACCTTTTCAGCAATTAAGAGACGAATAAAACGTGTCCAAATACAATATTTTTTACTCTGCTAAAAACAAAATTTTGCTTCTTAATAACAGTTGTCAGGAAGGCCCTACGGAGACCGTGAAAAGCTTCATTATATATTTATGCACATTTCAATCACTTGTTAGCTCCTTTATACTTTTTAATGTTTTGAAAGTAGCAAATAACATTAGATTTCAAAGTAATTTCTAGGTTACCTAATGTTCTGATCCCTCTGTTTGAAATTAAAACAGCTGTTTGCCGACAACGAAGAAGGTTCAGCCTAATAAGAAAGAAATATAAAATAATGCGCGGCCTAACATTTATTTTAAAAAAAGCTGAACAGAGGGTTGCCTATGCAGAAAGAGCAGACCAGTAGTCAGTGGAAGGAAAATGCTTTTACAATTGGAAAACTGAAGAAGATGTGATCCAAAAAAAAAACTGAAAAATGCGTTTGCATCTTCGAGAAGGAAAGACGCACACTTTAAAATATGTTCTTCCTTAACGGTAAACCGCATACCGCCCTACGTTAAAAACTGCTTTTGCAACGGGTTCTAAAGGGTGAAGGTTTTATCTTTTAATTAGTCATCAAGAAATTCAATTACGCGTGTATAAATATAAATTATATACAGAAATGAATGCAAATATAAATAAATGAATATATATATATATATA